TCCTCCGGCACCTTGTCGACGGACACCGTCGCCACAAGAGTGAAGTTGTAGTTCGCAAAGTGGTACATCTGATTCTCCCCCTGCGCGCCAACGGGCCACTCCGCCCACGCTCCCCGGAACTTCACACCGTTATCCGTCATCTCCGCCCCACCATCATTCCCCTTTATTGTGGCGTTCACGCCGAGGTACTCGTCCCTCCATGTCTTATCAGAGAAGTTGGCGGATAAAAAACCAACCAGCCCATCCGCCGGCGTGGCAGTCCTGCAGGCATTTTCAGGTAAGATACTCTCCACATCACTTTTTGAAGGGCACAGCTTGGAGACAAGGTCGTCCACTTTCTTCCACGTCGTCAGCACATCCTTCACACGCTGCAGCTGCGCAGTCAGGAGCACAGACACCATACCGAGTGATGCTTCGTCCCCATCCTTCTTCTTCTCGTACAGTGCAATCAACTCCTCCTTCCTATCTTCACCTTCAGCACTTTTGTACAACAGGGAGCTGGCGGCAGGGTCCTCATCATCACCGGATACCGGCCCAATATCAACAATGTGCGTATTGTCCGTCAGCCAAAGATGGAGTACGCCCTTTCTGTTGCCTTTTTCATTAGAATAAACCGGCGTAGTGACGAGTATCACGTCCCTGTCCTCAATCTTCGCTGTGATGAACCCGCCTCTAACGAGCTTCACGTTTTCATCGTGTTTGTTGCCCCACACACGCGAGAGTGTCCCGAGTGCCTCCGTCCACTCCACCTTGTCACCGGACTCGTACACCCTGCGGCGGCCATCATCACACGCAGTCATCATGATGAGTTTGTCCTTCCACTCCACGACGGAGGGATCACTGCAGCCATCAGCGGACATCTCAGACAGCGTCCAATTCGGAATGTCCCTCGGGTCTATGACCAGCAGAAAGATTTTTTTTTTTTTGTCATTCTTCGTAGCTTCCACTGGGAACAAAAGCGTTTCGTCAGTTAACTTAACACCCGAACCACCGCCGCCAATCAGCTCTGTCAAGGAGTCGTTAGTTCCGCCTAAAGGTTTCCACTGGAGACGTTTAGTATCTTTCCAGTCAATCTTTTTGCTTTCCCCAGCATCACTGACTTCCCCTTTCACCAGCAAAAGGCCCCAGCCATCTGCACCACCATCCTGACCAACAGCGGCAGCATTCCGGCTGTACTTCCCAACAAGCATGTAAATCTCACGTTCCTTCACAACTGCTGTTGGTCGGCTCACATCCACTTTCTTCCTACTGCTTGAGGAAGCGACTTCCTCCAGAAATTGTGTCTTATCTTTGGTTTCCTTCAGAACTCCCTCCAGCTTTTTAGCAGCTTCTTTCGTGATAATTTGGGATGCAATGCCGGTAAATGTGTTGCCTTCACCCTCACCATTCTTGCACTGCGCCCCGGCAACGGTAAATACGTCATTCCCCACTTTTAGAAGGCCGGGAACGCCCAACGATTCCACAGTCACACCATCAGTGATGCCTTTCCATTCAAAATTTGGTTCGGATAACTCCTCCGCGTTAACGGCTGCAGTGCCACAGCACATCACGACGAGGAGGAGCAGCACCGCAGAGTAGAAGAGATGCCGGGACATGTTGGGCCTCTGCGGCTCACTCTCTCTTCCTTCCCTCCTCCTCCCGCTGGATCCGGTCACGCGGCGACGGTTGTGTGTGCGGGGTGCCTCCACTGCAGCAAGAATTGAGAGTATATAAATATGTGTGTGTGGGCGGTGTGTGTGCTGTTGGTCCTTTCAGTCCCTTCGAATATCACAGTGGCGATTAGCGATTGTTTTCCTTCATTTGTTATTGAGAGACAGAAACAGAGAGAAAACATGAATAGAAAAGGAATGAAACAGTGAGAAGCGCCACCCATCCACAGTAACTGGCACCATCATCCCCGCCGCACTCACTCCCAACAACAACTCACGCACACAGACACACGGAACAAGAGGGAGAACAGCGCACCAGGAAAACACAGCGACTGTGACCACCACAATTGGCAGGAGTCACGGCGGTTGTGTCGTTATTCGTCACGCGTCAGCTCACAAATCAAGCAACGCCCACACAAAAATCAACTAGCGGGATGCAAAGCGGCACAACCGTCCTTCGCAGCACCAATGCGCTGCAGCAATCCTTTTTCTGCTGTCTCCTTCGCACCCGCGCGTCACCGCACACAGCCGGGGAACAACCGTCAACGTATTCACGGAAGCAAAGACACATCGGCACGTGGAGCAGCTGGGTGGAATAATCCATCCGCACATGTCCCAGGCACCCAAAACGCCACACCATGCGCCGACCGCACGCCGCCAACGTCACATCGCAGCACGTCAAGGAGACAAATTACGAACCCTTGTCCTTCTCGCAAGGACCGCCGCAGCCAAGATCGTGCGCATGCGTGCGTTCTCAGCTTTCACGCCTCTCCACAGCGTGTGCGACACGGCGTGTGTGTGTGTGTTTGTGCTTGTCGGCGCCTATACTTGCAGAGCAGCTGTGCGCCACAAGAGAGTCCGAAGAAAGCAACGGCAGAGAGAGGCAGATAGCACACACGCAAATTACTCATATCATCGCACACACACACACACACACGCAGCCGCGGAATGGGTGCACTCAACCACAAAATCAAAAAGGAAAACAAAACAAAAAGCCGAAGCGTGGGACGACCAGCGCACACACTCTCATTACTCCCGTAAAGCAAAACACACACACACACAGAGAGAGAGAGAGAGGTCGCCCACTCAATGCAATAAAAACAAAACAGAAACAGTTACGGTGCTCCGCCCATGCAGCCAGGCAGGACGGCAGCGGTGCGTGTCGTGCAAAAGAGAGCACCAACGGGCCTGCATGGGTGTGCATGCATACATACAATGGGCACATTATTGTGTGTGCCTCGTGGGGTGAGGTGAGGGCGAGAGTCCATGCAAGGGGACACACACACAGAGAGAGAAGGAAGAGTGTGTGTGCGGGCGGTGCGTGGCTCTCTCACACTCACTCTCACGCGGCCACCACCGCAGCAGCAGCCGCACACGCAACAACAAGAAGAAGCAAAAGAGGGGAGGTGGTGTGGGAGACCGCGGTGCTGCTGTCACTGTCGCCAGTTGGAGCCGTATCATTTGCAATAGCTGTGGTTTTTATTGGTAATTCTTTTGTACTGTCATCTTTATTTCCATCTTCTTGTGCTGCTTCTGGTACTGCATCAACACCTGCTTTTTTTAATTGGAAATCTCCTCCTCAGTAGCCTTGTCAGGGCCATTGCTGACGGCGACTCTTTTTGCTGATGAGCGTGATGTTGGAGTTGATTCGGCATGGCTGTCAGATGTTCCATCCTGTTGTTTGTTTGTGGTGACAACACCGTCTTCCTTTCCTGACTCACTCCCTGACTCCAGGCCGCTTTGAGCATTCTGTACCTGTTGCACTGAAACGACATCTGCAGAGCCGGGGTCTTCATTTTTTGCTTTTGGCGTTGGTACTGATTCTGTTTCCTTCTCGCTGCCATCCTCTCGTTCACGTTGTTGTTTTTCGTCTGGCACCGCGGCACGAGATGCTGAACCATCGTTCGAATTCTCCACATTGCCCTCGTCAGCGTTATTGGCGACAGCATTACTGTCATCCTCCGCAGAAGATGATGAAGCTGCTTCCCCGTGACCCTCAGTTGTCGCATTTTGTGTGGCAGCTGTTGTTGTTCTTTTCTTTTTTCTGCGGATCGTCGGCTGGCT